ACCGTCGCTTCCATAAGTGCCAAAGAACTGCTGCAAAAACCTTGCTCCATTCACAGCCCATGATCATAGGTAAATCATGGTTCCATAGGAAATTATCAAACCACGGAACTGGATCCATATCAAATAACTGAACCCACCCCTTGAAAAAGGAATAGATGCACAATCAATGCTTTCATAAAAATAGTTTCTTGCTGCTTGAGATTTTGTGTTGCGAATAAAAATGGACTGGCTTTGGGTAGTGGGGCGTAGATGCAAGAGTCGTCGACCTCCAGATAGCACACGATCTCCGCCTACATCCTTGTCCTCGCCGACGATTTCGAGCACCAATTGGGAAATCAAATTGGGAAATGAGATCAAATTCTAGATTGAATTCCTACTCCCTCGTGAAATTGATTCAGAGGTTGCAATTAGGAGATGAGATCGAACCAGTGGCTTTGGTCTGCAAGTTAGGTTGAAATTAGGGAAAGACAATTGGTATGTGGTAGAGACATTGCCCGACATTTTTTGCTGAGTGATGAGAATGAGAAGGATTTTCATACACTTAAAAACTTAATTGGTATAATTTGGATTCTTAATGGCACTTTAGAAATTTTAGGCTATTAATAAGTTTAATAATATTGCAAAAAAAAAATAAAAAATAAGTTTAATAAGGCATATGACATAATATTTTATATAATAATTTGTTAATTAAATATTTTATATAATTTAAAAATATATTAGTTCTGTAAACCTTGAAAAAATAGAAATCTTATCTCAGAACAGTCATAGACATCAAACGTGCAACATATTCGATCTCCACAATTTAAGCCATGTTTTAAATATCATAATTTGTCTAATCTAATCGCTTCAAATTATCTTAAGCCATGTTTTAAATATCGTAACGGCCGGTATTTAGAACACTGATCTTAAGTTCTCTTCAGTTGGGATTCAAACTTTATTACCTCGACTAAGAGCCGAAAAATATTCGTTAACCATTTAACTTTCTTTGATTCGAAACGAAATATAAATGATTTGGTATGATTCTTGAGATTTTACAAACATACGTACCGAGAACCAAATTCGTCCAATCAGTCCCACATCATACCGGGCTGAATTAAGAAACAAATTATCATTATATTAGATGTGTCTTGTTCATAGATCTTATATATGTCAACTTTAATCATATAATTTGAGTATTTTTAAATTACTTAATAACATATATAGTAATAATTAAACTTCAAATAATTTTCATGCTTAATAATACTTGATTTTTAACTAATTGAAAAGTGTATTTTTATTATATACTAGTTTTACCCCGTGCATTTGCACGAAAAGCGATATAATAGAAGAGAAAGTTATTAAAAATATAAAATAAAATAAAAATCATAACTTTGGAAATGAGAAAAAATAATTAAAAAAGGTGACTCTAAATATTATTAAACACTCCTTTATATATAACATTCATGGTTTTTCTATCGTCAGAATCCCCATCACAACAAATCATTATCGTTAAATTTTTTCGACTCGTGACTCCGGGATTTGATTTTTCAAAATATTTGATGCATCTTTGTAATATCCGAAAAAATATTTTTTATTATTGTATGACTGCAATATAAAATAGAGATAGTTATAGTTATTTTTAATTAGTTGTGAAATATGTATTTATATAATACCAAAAAAAATATAGTATTAAAAAATAAAAAAAAAAATATTTTGTATTTCAGAACATAAAAAAGACGTTACATAAATGGGATATGTCAAAATAAATTGTGTAACTGAAAGTTACATATTTTTATTAATTGAACTCCTATTTTTATTAAATGAACCTATATTATTATTAATTGCTGGCTGAATAAAATTTATTGAAGCTTTCCAGCAATTATATATATATAGATGTTGATCTTAGTCTTATTCTATTCTATAATTAGAATGACATAAAAGGTTATATGAATACTTTAAAAACAAAAATATTATACTATATTATATTTGAATATCGATCTTCATCAATTTAACAAATATAACAAAAATTAATGCATGCATTTGATGCTTCGGTCAATGCTCGAAGTTTTATTTAAAATGCTTAAAATCTTACGAGATGTAGTATGAATTAATTATTTTCGAATTTTTATGGCCTCTAATTCTAGTAAGTGCTTTATATACATATATATATATATAATACCAAATNATATGTATAGATTTTAAGAAAAAAAATTATGTTATTCTTATTCAAAAAATTATGTATAGAATTTAAAAAAAAAATTATAGGCGAAAAAACGAAAATCGAAAATCAAAGCGAACTGGCGAAAAAATAAATCGAGGCATATCGACTACTTTTAGTTACAATAATAATAATACTACCATATTTACTATATCATATGTATAATTTATTCAATTAATAATATTTTTGTATGTAATATATTCATATGTAAAAAATGTAATAATATTTTTATGTTTATAAAAAAATTTAAAAAGTGAATTTCCAATCGAATCGTTTATATACCCTTGTCTTAAGCGAATTGAATAAGAATCATGCATTAATTTTATTGTAAATCGAATACGAATACGAATAACATATATAAAATTATGTTATTCTTATTATGTTGTAAATCGTTTACGGTTCGCTTTGATTTTAAACTTATGTTATTCTTATTCGTATTCGATTTACAATAAAATTAATGCATGATTCATATTCAATTCGCTTAAGACAAGGGTATATAAACGATTCGATTGGAAATTCACTTTTTAAATTTTTTTATAAACATAAAAATATTATTACATTTTTTACATATGAATATATTACATACAAAAATATTATTAATTGAATAAATTATACATATGATATAGTAAATATGGTATTATTATTATTATTGTAACTAACAAACATTTTAAGGAAAGGCAAAACAGGAAGGCACGGAATTAACCCTGCAGCCCCGCTCGTCTCCAGTGTTCTCAAAATTTCATCTTATCTTCTTAGTTCATCTGAAATTTTAATCGCCTCAGGCTCAAATCGTTTCCTAATCCTTAATCGCCCTAGACCCCCAAATATTCTCCAAACCCAGGTCCCAGTTGTCTCCTCCGCTGATCTCAGCTCTCACTCGTCAAGAAGCCTCTGCTTGAGTGTACTGTGTAGTAGTCTAGTAGAGAGGGTTATCAGTCAAGGGCGTCCCAATTTTTCGTCTCCCTCCCAAATTCTCAATTCCATCTCAAGTCTCTACAAGGTACAAGTTTTTTTTTTTTTTTGTTTAATCTGGGAGAAAACATTATGATTTATTTTTTTATATGATTTGTTTTAGGTTGAGCAAGAAATGGACAAAAGTTGGATGCAAGAAGCTAAATGGTCTGAAGTTTACTTGGATGGAGTAAACACATTTATGAAGTTTGTTGAATCTCATATGGGAAATGAATGTGATATTAGATGCCCCTGTACAGATTGCCTGAATTTATCAATGAAAGATAAAAAAACAGTGGAAAGTCATATCATGATGCGTGGGATGGATCCGGGGTACATCACATGGTTTTATCATGGTGAACTACATTCGAATAATCCAGGAAGTTCATATACTAGTGCTAGTTATGGAATCAACAGAGAGTCATCAGATCACAATGATGAAGATGAAGTTTAAGATGAAGACGATGGTATTAGTGACATGCTATTTGAATTTGCAGAGAAATATCAAACCAGTAGGAATTCCAAAAATAATAACAGTAGTACGGATGGTGTTCCAGCATATCTCGAGTCATTGATGATGGATGCGAAGACGGAGTTGTATCCAGGATGTAAAAAGATTTCAAGGACTTCATTTATCATCCAATTACTCCACTTGAAAGTGTATAATAGACTAAGTAATAAAACAATAGATATGATTTTGAAGTTAATGAAGTTATCTTTTCCTGATGGCGAGACACTTCCAAATTCTTGTTATGAAGCCAAAAGATTTTTGCGAGATATGGGATTAGGATATAAATGCATCCATGCTTGTAAATACGATTGTGCCTTATTTTGGAAGGAGAACGAGAAACTGGAGATTTGCCCTATTTGCAAAACTTCTCGGTGGAAAGTCAATGATGGTGTAGGCAAAAAGATACCACAAAAGATCTTAAGGTACTTCCCATTGACACCCAGACTTCAACGACTTTTCATATCTCATAAAACGTCTAATAAGATGGTCTGGCATAAGGAAAAACGCATTGATGATGATTACATGAGGCATCCGGCAGATTCTATGGCATGGAAGGACTTTGATAGAGAGTTTCCTATGTTTGCAAATGATCCCAGAAATATCAGACTAGCTTTAGCTGCAGATGGTTTTAATCCATTTGGAAACATGAGCTCCACTTATAGCATGTGGCCAGTGATTCTCGCCCCATTGAATCTCCCCCCTTGGGATTGTATGAAGCAACCATATTTTATGTTGTCGTTGCTTATTCCAGGGAAGAACACACCAGGAAAAGATATTGATGTCTACCTACAACCATTAATTGAAGAGTTGAAAGAATTGAGGGTTAATGGAGTAGAAACATATGACGTCTCCCGTAAAGAAAATTTCCAATTGCATGCTGCTGTTTTATGGACGATAAATGACTTTCCAGCATATGGCGATATATCTGGGTGGAGTACTAAAGGGTATATGGCTTGTCCAGTTTGTAATGAGAACACTTTTTCTTCGAGATTGAGAAATAAGATATGTTACATGGGGCACCGACGTTATTTACCGAAAGATCATGCTTGGAGAAGAAGTAGGAGATTCAATGGGAAGAGAGAAGATAGCAAAGCACCTAGAGATTTAACAGGAGATGACATATTAATGCAATTGGAGAGAATACCAAAAACGAATCCAGGAAAGCATAGCAGCAAAAAGAGGAAAAGAAAGCCGGAGGAATTGAACTGGACATAGCGCAGCATTCTTTTCGATTTGCCTTATTGGAGTAAGTTGAAGTTAAGACATAACTTAGATGTAATGCATATTGAGAAGAATATATGTGAGAGTATATTAGGAACCTTGATGAATTTAGATTAAAAAATGAAAGACACCGTCAAGGCAAGACAAAACTTGGAAGATATGAAAATTCGAAAGGAGCTGCACTTAACCAAGAGAAGTGACGGAAAATATAATATGCCTGTTGCATGTTATGTTATGAATAAAAAAGAAAAACAGGAGTTTTGTGAGTTTCTAAAGTCCGTAAAATTTCCAGATGGGTATGCATCAAATATTTCTCGTTGTGTGAGTTCGCGTGATCAAAAGATATCTGGATTCAAAAGCCATGATTTTCATGTACTGTTACAACGAATAATTCCCACTGGAATTCGGGGGTCATTAAATAAGGAAGTGTGTGACGTATTAGCAGAGTTGGGTCATTTCTTTCAACGTTTGTGCTGCCAGAAGCTGAGAAAAACTGAACTAGAGCAAATGAAAGAAGATATAGTCATTATATTGTGTAAACTTGAAAAGATATATCCTCCTGCTTTCTTTGACGTCATGGTTCATCTGTCTATTCATTTACCCAATGAGGCATTGCTCGGTGGCCCCGTTCAGTTTAGATGGATGTATCCCATTGAAAGGTAACAAGTTAAACTATGCTATCTCTTATCTTTATAAATTTGGATAATGTTTTGATTGATTGTAATGTAAAATACATTTTATTAAATTTTACAGGTTTTTAGGTGATTTGAAGCAAACCGTGCACAATAAAGCTCATCCAGAAGGTTCAGTTGCAAAAGCGTACATAGCAAAAGAGTGCTTGACTTTTTGCTCTATGTATTTGCGTGGAATTGAAACTAGATTTAATAGAGATTAGAGAAATGTTGATGTCATGCTTGATGATAGCCTATCGATTTTCTCACAAAAATGTCGGCATTTTGGAGCAGCAAGCTTTGTGGAATTGTCCGAAGAGGAGTTTAATATGACTCAATGGTTTGTCTTCCAAAATTGTGAAGAGGTTGAACCATATCTTGAGTAAGTCTGTGATTATATCTTACGCACAAAAGACAACATATAACATATAAGTATTTATAATTTTCTACCACATATATATTGTTACTTGTTGTAGGAAGCACAAGGAGGAACTTCTATTGGGTGGTTGTGAAAATATAGATAAAACCCACAAAGATCTATTTCCTGCATGGTTCAAAAAACATGTAAAGTTATCTTGTTAATTATATATCTCTATTTTTTTAATTAACTCCATTATATTTTTAAGAATTTTATTTGTATTTTTCAGATGACCTTGTTATATCATGAAGAACCATCTAAATCACATGAGTCTTTATATGCCCTGGCTTGTGCACCTAAAAAATGTGTGAGATAATATTCCGGCTGCATTGTAAATGGAGTAAGGTTTCTAACTAAGGAACGTGATAATAGGCGTAAAACTCAGAATAGTGGGGTTGTAGTAGAAGGTAACCATGGAGGAGATTTCATTGATTTTTATGGGGTCTTGAGCGAGATAAATTCAACTTGATTATGTGAAAGATAGGCATGTTACCATTTTCAAATGTGATTGGTTTGATCTTGGGTGCAAAAAAAGACCAGGGATACAGAAGGACGGAAATATTGTGAGTGTTAGAGTTAGTAGAAAGTGGTATGAGAATGATTCTTGCATACTAGCAAATCAAGCAAGACAAGTTTTTTACATCAAAGATCCTAAATTAGGAAATGATTGGCTTGTAGTACAACCATTCCAACATAGGCATGTTTATGATGTTGATGAAATGCAAGATGAAGAAATGGATGTTGATGATATCTTGGCTGTGGAAGATGAAGTATATCAGGCGAATGATGCAAATGATGTGCTTACCATTAGTCTTGATGAAATAGAGTTGCTGAATAGGAAGGACATAGATCCCGAAGATATTGCCGATACAATAATAGAAAGCTCACATGAAGTTAGTGAGGTTGTACGCCTAGATGACATCGAGAACGAAGATGAGTTGGATGACGATGATGATTGGGGCCTTGACATTTGATGATCTGTAAATCTTATTTTGTTATGTGAAAATATACTTGATTTCTAATGTATTCTTGCTTTAGTTGATTTTTTTTCCTATTCTCCTTATTTATAATAAATATTATCTCGTAGGCGATCGATGGTGGGAGGTGGTGGGACTGCTGTTTGGGGATTTGGCGGATCCACAGCTGCCGGTGGAGTTCTCACCCTCGCCAGACGGAGAGTTCCCCTAAAATTCGCACAAGAAGGTCTAGTGAGTTCCGGATTTCTGGTGATGATTTTGACTTCTTTTTTTTTCATTTTTCTTAGGTTTTTGGTGAAGGGATTTAGAGCTATTTGTTCGTTGACGGTTGTTTTTTGTATTTGTTAATGGTTTTTTTACATTGAATGAAGAAGTTATTGAATTTAGAATTTATGAATCCAATGTGTTTCATGATTTATAGTTTCATTGTTCTTGTTTGAATCTAATGAGTTTTAGCTTTAATGGTTTTATGGTTTTAGTTTTTTTCATTAAACAAATATCTGAAGGAGCACAACTTCACAAAGTTAGTTTCAGTTGACTCTAGCTAAGTTAGGGCAAAGTCTTGCTTTTGCTGGGTGTTGTTGGCTTGTTCTTCCTCTTTTTCTTTTTGGTCCTATTTTGTTTTTTTGCTCTTTTTGGTTCTATCTTGATGTTTCTTTTTGGTCCTATTTTATTTTTTTTCTCTTATCTGTAGTTTTGTTTGTTTTTTTGGCTTTTGCCTGTTTGTTTTGGCTAGTTCTGTAGGGCCGCTATTTTGGTGCTTGGCGGTGTTTTGTTTTTCTTTAAATTTCTTGCTTAGTGTTTGGTTCGTTTCTTATGGACAACGCCTTTTCTGGTTTACCCGTCTCCTGATTCCTGCTAGGTTGGTAGTAGGGAGTTTGGATTGCATTCAGTTGTATGCCGTTGTACGCTTTTGAAGTTTCGTTTAAGTGAATCATTTATCCGTTTCGGAAAAAATAAAAAAAGGTAAGCAGCAGTGCCAGGGAAAAAAGGAAAGAAAAAAAAATTATATCCAGTGTCGATGAACAATGTCAATGTCTGTGAGAATGTTTTTTGCTCCTGTAATAATTCTCTAGACCTGTTTCTGTTTGGAGGATCCTGAAAATGAAGGACAATATTCCAATTGCAGCTGAAAATTGAATTCAGATATATAGGACAATATTTCAATGTCTGTGAGAATGTTTTTTGCTCCTGTAATAATTCTCTAGACCTGTTTCTGTTTTGGAGCATCCTGAAAATGAAGGACAATATTCCAATTGCACCTGATATGATAAAGCCAAGGCAGATATATAGGAAAAACATCCGACAAAGAGATATGCAAAGCCCAGGTTTGGAAACAGCTGAAAATTGAATTCAGGCTTCGAATCACATACTCCATTCACCACAACACCAACACAAAGTACAGAGTCCCAACTCAAACCTGTTAAATCATCTTCATATTAACTTTATTTAGCATTCTTGAACAAAAATGCAGCGCAACTTTCAGTCAAAACCAGACAAATAACACAAATCAAAGCACTCAGCCATTTTACACATGCACCTTGTAAGCAAAATCCAATATGTCATATTCCTTGTGTTGACGGACGTTTTCGGTCTACGGTTAAAAAGGTAAATAATAGGAAAGGAAATAACGCAAAGACAAGGAAATACGGTTTGATTGCGGTTTTATTGATAGATCGCGAGGTCGGCCTCTCATACGAGGTCGGCACTTGCAATATCCTTACCAATTATTACAGAGTAATCACACGAGTTTTTAGAGAGAGAAAGTAGAGAGAGATAGCTTTTACAGTTGAGATTCAACAACCCAAAATAAATGAGAAGGGTTGCTATTTATAGTAGCCTTAAATGTGGCACTGTTCAGGTACTGTTCATCAGTCTTGTCGTACAGTGTTTCAGCAGGATAGTTCGGCGCCTCTCTGACAGCATTAAATGCGATTTGAGGTTTTCCTCATCATTGTCTGACGGGCATTTAATGCTGACAGGCTTTATGTCTTGGCTAGGGGAAGTAGGTCAACAGGCTAGGGTGTCCCATCCATCAGCCAATGATTACCCTCCAAGTGGCATTATTATAATATTATCGAGGTCGACACCTTCACTGCAGGGGCCCGTCCTGGAACTCCAGATCGGCACCTTTTCTTTGCTTGTTCCTCTGACCTTGGAGAATCTTTCGGCCAGACCGTCACTCTCCAGGTCGGCACCGAAGCTTCGTAGTCGCAAAACGCCGGACTGGCAGACGGACTCATGGGGACGTCTCGGTCAAAAAGTTTCCCGGTCCAGCTCGGCACTTTATGGGTGGACCGGGCCTCCGGTTCGGCTCTCGAAATTGTGTTGTCCGGTTCGGTCTTATGGGCGAACTCGGATGTCAACATACAGGCCCCCGAGCTCAGAGGGGGTGCCTTCAGCATCCTCTGTGAGGTCGCTTCCCAAAAACACATACGAGGTCGGCACTCAGAATACACTTGGCAACAATATTCCTATCGTTTGTTACGCTCACCTCTCCCAGTCCCGAAACGACGGGTCATTTAATGTATCGTGACCGTTACGCTTCCTGTCGGTTATGAAAAGTTGCGCCGGTTCAGAACCTTTACACGTGTCATGCTAGGATTCGTCCGCGCCAAACGGCGCGTCGTTTCGGTGAAGCGGCGGTTTTTGGGGCGCGTGATACTCACGCGGATCCTTTGAGACCGTCGGATTACTTTCATCTTGGCCGTCCGATCGAGCTTTTAATTTTGAATTTCAAACGCCATGCCACGTGTTGCACCGTGATTGGCTCTCGATTTGTATATATATTTCCGTCGTCTTCCTTGAGAAGCTTTTACGAGCTTCCAGAATTTTCAAGCAACCTAAGTCTTCTGAGCAGCCGAATTCCCGAACAAGATTTCAGAGCGATTTTCAGGATTTTTCGAGTTTTTCGGAGATCTCCAAACCGGTAATTCCGTTTATCTAAAACTTTTTCTTCACTTTCTTTCGATTATGTCGAATTTGTCCGACTGTGCCGCGAACCTCCCCGCCGGAGATGGCGGTTTCACGGCGGAGGAGACCGGGGAGTTAGTCGTTTATTCCCCGCCGACGACCGGGGCGATGCAACCGCTCAGAGTGACCCCGATTTCTGCTGTCCGCGTGACATCGGCGGCGGCGGCGACGGGATCGTCTCGCGGGGAAGGTTTAGCCTTCCCCACGATCGAGATAATTGACCTCGGGTCAGGCCAGTCCGACGCCGACGAGGGCGAGAAGAAGTCCGATCCCGTCTCTCCCGCCGAATCGGACGTAGACGCCGAACTAGTCGAGGAGACTCTTCGGGGCGACACTCGCGGACGAGAGCGGGTCCCCATGGGTCGCGAGGACACCGAGACCGACGCCGCGGTTGAGGCTGCCACCTCGGCTCCTCCCGGGTGTTGGTGCCGCCCTCCGCGGGTATGGCCCTCCACCGCCTCGGCTACTGCTTGGACCACCCCCTCGGTGCTTACCGACCTAGACCTGGCCAAGCTGAGGGGCAAGGCGTGCTTTGGCGCCGGGGTGAGGATTTTCGCCCCTTACGCAGGCGAGCGTATTCACTGCCCCCCGCCGGGTTGCATCGGCGTCTATCGGTCGAGCATCCTGCTCGGCCTCAGATTTCCATTGCCGGGGGCCTTAAATGACATCCTATGCGACCTCGGCATAAGCATAAGTCAGCTCGTGCCGACAGTTTTCGCTCGGCTCGTCGGCCTCATCGTCTTGTTCCGACGGCAAGGGTGGACGGATCCGACGAGCGCCGACGTCGGGTCCTTGTTTGTTTTCAAGAAATCCGGGGAGACCGGCAACTATTACAGCTCGGTCGCCCTGGGCGTGAACAAGTCGTTAATTCACAAAATCCCAGAATCGCTGCACGGCTATATGCCGGAGTGGTTCTGGATCGGTGGTGAGTGGAGGACGCCTGACGCAGTCCGGCACCCAACCACTGAGTTCATCTCGGGTCCCTGTAAGTGCCAATTTCATTTTCTTTTCTATCTTCTGATTTTATCGTTTTTCCATGCTAACAGGTCGGTATTTGCGTTTCAGTCCAAAATCCCCGCCTCGAACCAAGCGACGAGCTGGTTACCAAGGTCGAGACCCTGTTAGGACTTGACGAGGGGCAGCGCATCTACAAGGATCTTGTTTCGGAGGAGAGCCTGGTCGAACACAACCTTTCCCTCGAGTACAACAGCAAGTCTTTTGAGCCCGGTATTTCTCCTTCACTTTATTGCTTATTTTTCTCGCATCATTTACTTCTTCTCATTGCTCATCCCCGGCTTCTCGTTTCCCTTGGCAGTTTATTATCCCCTCCTGCGTGAGTGTGGATTTAGTTCGGTTAAGGAGGCTACTAAACACGCCCGTGCCAACCCGAACCCGCTCAAAGGTCGGAAGATGGCCAGCCGGATGGACTTCTTGACAAGGCAATCGAAGAGGAAGGCCCCTGCGTCGAGCTCAACGGGGGCTTCAGACCCCGCTCCGCCGAAACCAACCTCCGGGGCCACGCTTCCCCGAGAGGCCGATGTACCTGTCAGCTCGGCCCCAACCGTTACCGCCCCCGCTCCCGCAGGTGGACGGAGGAGCCGGGCTAACGCCTCTGAGCCCGGCGCCGGCCACGGCCGAGGTACCGCCAGTCAGGGCGGGCCCGCCCGTCAGAGGAAGCGTCGGATCCTCGCGGAGGAGCCGGAGGAGCCTGCGGAGGACGAGCTCGGGGTGCAGAACAGTGCCCCGCCGTCCCCGAAGAAGAAGAAGGTGACTGAGGTCCCGGGGGCCGCTACCGCGGGTGAGAGGTCGGCTCATGTCCATCAGGCCGGCTCCTCGACATATATACCCTTGAACCCGAGCCGCAAGGCCAGCCTCTCCAAGAGCCTGGAGGGGTTTCCTGACCAGTGGTTCATCGACTCGGCGTCGGCGATTTCACTTGACTTGCCCAATCCCCACAGTCTGCCGAGGGAGGTGATGTCCGCGGCGCAGGTCGTGATGGCCTCTTGGACCCCGACCGCTGAGAC